AAAGACTATTACTGTGTGCATACGTGTGTCTGTTTTGGTGTATTTTATAAATAAATAGTATTAGTGCTCCAGGTTTTTGCCAGCTGGGAGACAAGTTAAAGGGAAACATTTTGAAAATCCAACAATAAATAACAACTTTATGACTCTAATCATGCAAATGGATTTGGATGGGTGGCTCTTCATTAGTTTCTAGTAGGCACAGACATCTATCTGTGAAGGGTCATTTGTGAATCTCAGTGCTATACTCATAAGTTAGGAACAGAGGAAGAACCGTTGTGATCATTTCATCTGACATTCTGTGTCGCAAAGATTGTAAGAGTTCCCTGATGTAATCGCTGACTGAATTAGAATATATTTTTTAGAAAAAAGTGGAATCTTGATATTTAAAATTGCCACTGATAAAGAATCCAATACAATCCTTAGTAAGTTGTTCTAATGGTCAATTACCCCTCACTCTGTGTCATATTTCTATCTTGAATTTTTCTAGATTCAACTTACAGCCATTAGATGTTATTATATCTTTGTCTGGTAGGCTGAAAGCTGTCAAATTTTCATGCCCCATGTAAGTAGGTACTTATTGCCTGGGATCAAGTCATCCCTTAACATTCCCTTTAAAATAAACAGATTGAGCTCCTCGAATCTATCAATAAAAGACATGCTTTCAAATCTTTAATCATTCTTGTGACTTTTCTCAGAATGTTTTCCACCATGTCAACACAGCCTTCTTGAATTTTGCACACCAGACTTAGCACAGTATTGCAGTAAGAGAGGTTATATAACCTCTCAAATTCTACTCAGTATTTCTGTTTATATATCCAAGATTTGGGGCTATAAGGGCACACGATGAGCTGATGTTTAGGTAGCTAGCTACCCACCATCGTTCCCATGTCCTTCCCAGAGGAGAAGTCTGCCAGCCTCCCACCCTTTTTGCTCAACTTTTTTGTCCATGAGACTGGATGGGCAGTGCCCTGTCCTTCCATGGGCCAGATCCAGCTGGTAGGCACAATGTGGTGCCCAGAGCATGCACAGTGGAGCCCCATCTGGCTGTGTGGGGGAGGACAGGGGGCAGCCCAGCCCTGCTCCAGCTGAACAGGAAAAGGAGCTTGGCCTGCCCCCAACCTGGCCCAGCAGGGGGTAGAGGAGGCATGACCCAGCTCTGATTAAGCCCCACAGGGGAGATGGCGTGGCCCAGCCCCACGGGAGGAAAGGGGCATGGTCCACCCCTTCCTGGCCAGGCAGAGGGAAGAGGGCATGTCCTGGCCCCATACAGAGAGATGGAGGCATGGCCTGGCCCAGAAACAACTGTGCAGGGGGCAGGGCATGGCCCAGTCTAGTGGGGAGAAGGAGGCTCAGGCAAACCCCAGCCCAGCTGTGCAGGAGGAAGAGGATGTGGTCCGACCCTCATCTGGCCACGCAGGGGAAGGGCCATGGGCGATGCGCTGTGCAGGGCTTGGGATTTTAGCATCAGGAAGGGGTGGCGGAGAATTAGCGGGGAGCTTGAGCTAGGGGGAAGAAGTAGTCCATTAGCAGGAGACCAGCTGAATCCAGACAAGCTTGATACTAGGAAGGGGTAGGCTAAAAAGAGCTTATCCTATAGCTCAGCAAAGGGCTGTCAGTTATGTGGTTCTGATTTATATCTGTGACTTTATATTTTGAAAAGACAAACAGAAGAGCCCCCTGGGGGTAGGTCCAGGCCATGAAAAGACAACTGGCTTACTAACCCGCTTACACGCTCCCTCAGCCTTTGTGTCATCTGCAAGCTTTGTCACCAGTGACTTTTTTTCAAATGTCTGCTTCCAGAATATTGATAGAAACATAAAACAGTGTAGGGCCAAAAACTGCTCCTTGCCAGCCCCACAGAAAAAAATCCCATTCTGTGATTATTCCCCATTTACATCTTTAGACCTATGGGCTAACCTGCGTTGACTCCATTTAATAATTATTTTTTTCATAGTGGCCTATGCGGACTACTTTGTTATACTAAGTTGAATACCTTACAGAAGCCTAATTATGTGACATCAGTAATATTATCTTTTTCAATCAAAATTGCAATCTCAACAAAAAGATATCACATCAGTTTTCTAGGATCTATTTTCTGTTAACACAAATTCATATGGATTATATATCCTCTTTTAATTCTTTGTTCACTGAGTTTAACATCTGTTGTTTCATTGGTTTTCCAAGGAGATCTATGACATTATAGTAGGCTTATAATTAACCACATCACCACATTTACCTTTTTAAAATATGACATTGCTGTGACTTCCTTCCAGTCTTCTGTAACTTCCCCGTGGTTCCAAGACTTATTCAGAATCAGTAGAAACAGTCCAGAGAGCTCCTTTGTCAGCTTGGTGAAAACTCTTCCTTACAAGTTATCTGAATCTGCTAATTTAAAAAGGTCTAGCTCTTGTAATAGGGATGGAGTGTTGTAGCTGTGATGGACCAGGAGAAGTATAAAAGGCAAGGATTTTTTTGTGTTATCTTTTTTTATTAGATCAGCTGTATAGCTGGGAGAGCTGTTGAGCAAGCTTTTAGGCCAGCTTTGCCATTTACAACGTAACATCCACCTTACTGTGGGAATAAAAAGTCTGTCCTCATTTTATGATACAACTGCTTCCTCTGACTTTTTCTCTAATAAAAACCAGATGTATTTATCAAGGAAGTGCAGAAAAAAATGGATGATCACTGACAAGTCTACCATGTTCTTCAAGAAATGGACGCAAACCATTTTTAAAGTATTTTTCTTTCTAGTATACTTCAAATAATGCTTTTTTATTGTCTTTGCTAACCATATAATTCCCTTTGTAGCTTTCTGATTCACTTACCAATTTCTACAGTTCGGTGTCTTCAATTTGTTACATATATTATTGGAGTTTTTTTATACCTGCTTTTCCTTTAAGCCAAGATGACTTTTAATCAGTGTATTCTTCTTTCTTAGTTGTGAGATTATTAGATTTGTGAGGGCATCCAGTAAAATGTTCTCAAACAGTGACCAGTTATAAACCACATTTTTCCATCTAAATTTGTTCTCCCAACTGACTTAGCATATCAGTTTTTACCTTTCTGAAATAGGTTCTTTTAAAGTATGTATATTAATAGTTTGGACTTAATTCTGTTTACCCATAACAAATGTAATCAAGTTGCGATGCTTTGTGCCTTAGCTACTAATTTTTAGTTCTGCAATCAATTCCTTTTTATCTGTCAAGGTAAGGTCTAATATAAAATTCCCCTGTGTTGGATGCATCAATTTCTAACTCAAAAAGTGTTATCTATAATACTTAGAAAAACCAAAATGTTGTAATATGAGCTCCCAGCAAATGTCACTCAGACTACAATCCACCACGAGAAGACTTTTCCCCTCTGCATATTATAGGTGGGTCCTTAAGCAGCTGATCATTATATTCTCTAGTGTGATTTGGTGGTCTGTAGCAGACATCAACTAGTATCTCATTGTGAGACTTATCTGTTAACACAGTGACCCATCAGCTTTTAAGATCATTTGTTTTTGAGACTTGGGAACAGGTAATGCCACTTTTTGACAGAATACAAATACCGCCCCCCCATCCTTTTTGCCCATTTCCTCTCTCCTAAAAAAGATATAACTGTTGCTCCTACCTGCTAACAGTCCCCTAGTCTTATTAGGAAAGTATCTGGTTTGTCTCTCACTGGAGGAAAAAAAATGCATTGTGTCATAGGTGACTATGTATTGGCACCCACTTTCCCAAAATCTTAGACCTGCCCATGGAGACAAGGGTTTCTGAAAGCGGTCTCTTTGGCTGGGCAGACTGCATAGCTCGGGTGGAGCTGTATGAGCCTTCGAAGGCAAGACCTGAGGAAAATGGTCTTGAATTGGAAAGCTTCTCCGAGTCCATCCCACCCTGGGTCCACCCACCCTAACACATCTGGGCCTATGAGACTGAAGCTGGTTCCTTATTCCCGGTTCCTTATTCAGGGTTTCTTTTTTCAGAGGAAATCCTTACACAAGTCAAGGTTGTTATTCATGACCAGGACAGGCTGAAGAGTGAGAATTGCCCGCGAAGTGTATATTTACTTATTTAAAAAAAAAGTGCAATAACATCATGGATCAGGCACATCGCCCTGAACAAAGAGCTGAGACGGGCTGGGATGATGGGGTGAAAATCCTTTTCGGGTGGGTGCCATTAGTACTGCCCGTCCCCAGGAGCGAGCACACATCGCTGCGGGATTTCGGGCTCCCCAGCCTGTCTCATCCCTGGCTCGCGCGGGGCACGGATTGGCTTTGGGAAAGGGACCCGGCATCCAGAATAAAGCCCTGGGGAATAAAGAACCAGCTGCAGCCGCATTGCTGGCCTGAATCGCTCCTCCGGGGGCGGAGGTGATACCCCCCGCGCCCAGCTGGGCTTCCCGGGGGCCCCTGGCACCGCGCGCAAACCGCGCTCCGCCTGCCCCGCCCCGCCCGGCCCCGCCC